TTAGGTACTTTTGCTTTCCCAGGGTGAAGGACATCAGTGACCATCTGTTTCCTTTGAAGAAGTCGGTTGGTCATAAATTTCGGGGTTCAGATAGTTACTGTGTCATTCATGATGGCAACAGAGCCTCAGACAGCCCGGGAGGAAAAGAGCCCCACAAAGTTCTTGTAGGAAGCAAAATAAAATAACATAGTGAATGTGAAAGCCCTTCGTGAGAGAAGGCAAAATACTTATCTCACTATTTTTTAACTGAAAACAGGGTTCAGTCCTCATTCTTCTCTAACTGAATAATTTGAGGCAAATCTTTTCTTTTTCTTCTTTTTTTAAATTAAGAACCACTGGTTTATGGGGAAGTAATGCACTAGGTTAGGCTGGCTGAGCAACTGTTCTGTTTTTCATCGTACATTAACAAGTGAGCGTTACATTTTATATACTAGTTTCTCATGAAGGCAAATCTTTTTATATCTGGTGTAGTCATTTCCTCTGAAAAGAGGACATTGAAGTTTATGAATAATAATTAGATATATATTTATACTATGAACACAATTTATTTTTATATATAACGATCGGTAAAGCAAGCTTGTACTTCTGGAAAATCTCCAGCTATATACCCATTCTTATTTTGTTTCTAAATGGGATGCAGATTATTTTGACAGCTACCCATTGTCCCCACAGGGGTGGAGAGTGCTAGAGCAACCGGTATCTTAACATAGGAGTCCTGAAGGTGGGAATGTAACTCATGTCAGCTCCAATTAGTCAGCGAGTCAGCGAAGAATCTACAATCTGAGATACAGGGTCTCAGGATAAATCCTGAGGGGATCTGACTGACCTTATCAGATACAAAAGCTACAATTCTTGTTACATAGGTCTTGCTTTATTTTGGTCTTAACCATACAGCAGAAAAGTATAAAAACAAAGTATAAGAAGTAAAGCCATGTTGGTATGTTGAGCTGTGGGGGACTCAGGTCAACAATTTCTGACATTGCCAGTCAGGTGGAAGACTCAATACTATTATGGGCTACTGGACTCCTTTAGAATATTTTGCTGAGTTAACACACCTATAATATTCAAATGATGGAACTAAACAAAAAAGGGGATACAGATGAATGTCCATTTTGTATTTGTGTATTCAAAATGGTTAGGATAGATATATAGTTACATTCTCTTAATGAATAGTGGGATTTGTTGTAATAGTGTTTGTAAATAGGATATCATGTCTTGTACAGCAAATAACCACTAGGAAGAGAGTATGCAATGTGTTAATTATTGAAACTGTCCTACCAATTTGATTTGAAACTATCTCATTGCTATTTGTCTTTCAATAAAATTATGGGGAAAAAAAATCGAGTCAGAAAATAACCAGAAATTGAAACGAGATAGCTCAGCAGCCTAAGCGCCTGCTTAGGCCAGCACAAGGACCGGGATTTCCTCCCGCAGCACCACAAGCTGCGGCGGCCCCGCCCCCGGGCGCCTTGAGCCAGGGACTGAGCGTGGTGGCGAACGCCTGTAATCCCAGCACTGGGGAGGCTGAAAGCAGGAGGATCACTACGAGTCCGAGCTGCATAGTGAGATCTTGTATAAAATACATAAATTTTAAAAAATAAATAAAACTAAAAAGAAATTGAAATGGGGACGGGGAGATAGCTCGACAGCATAAGTGCCTGCCTGGCAAGCGCAAGGTACCGAGTTCAATCGCTGGTACAAAAAAAAAAAAAAAAGTTGAAAAGGTAAATCAAGAAGTGACTGAGAACACTTTGGTCAGTACAGGAAGCCACCGCTTTACTTGCACTTACACCAATTACTTACACTTCCCATCTATCACCTGGCTTTGCCATTGCTGCATTGGCGACCGTTACCTACCTGCGACTGCCTTGCAGGCTTCCGTAGCACTTTGCCCAGCTTTTGGCGGGAAAGGTGTCCTCCGCTGGGGTCAAAGGTCACTGTTGCTCCAGCTGAGGGCGACCGTTGAAGGAAAGCGCATGCGCCTCAGGTAGAGCACGCGCCGCGTCCTGCAGTTCATCTCCTCGATCGCTCTTCTCACGCTTTACGTAATGTATAAGCTTATCTCGGGTTATTTTGTCTACTTTTTACATTTTAATCTTTTTCTTTTGCCTCCGTGACCACTCTTAAGTTTCTTAAAATCTTACTGGCGAGGTATTTGAGGAAAAAAATGTAGATTCACTGACTTTTCACAAGCGCTTCCTGTGGTAGCGTTAATTGGGTCGGCTAGTACAGGCTTTAGCAGCATAAATTTAAATTCATCCAATTCTTTTATGAAGTTTGACTACACTTACTAAGGAAATTAGACTGAGACCAAATAGATTGAAACATCATTATGTCAGCTTTTAATAGGTCATAAAATTTTGGAATAGTGTATGTTCTGTTGCCTTTTAATATCTATACCACAAAGTAAGACGATATATATAGATCCTTGCCGAAAGAAAATCACCTGATTTGGATACTTTGAAATTTACACTTTTTCAAATTAAAGAATCTTTAAAGTGTGTGGTGATGTTGCGCACTTGCAATTCCAGCTACGTGTAATTCCACCTCTTCGGGAAGCTGAGGCAAAAGGATCTTTAGTTCGAGGCCAGCCAGAAATCCAAAATGGGGGGGGGGGATGGAGGAGACAGAGACGTGAAAGGTTGTCAGGAGCATCTGTTCGCTACCTTATGTTAAATGTTGTGGATGCTTGATGTAGTGAAGGAAGTTTGTGCTTTTTAAAAAGCTATCGCTCAGTAGAATAAGCGCTTGCCTGGCAAGTGCAAGGGCCTGAGTTCAATCCCCGGTTCCGCCAAGAAAAAAAAAAAAAGCTGAGTGTACTACTAGCTAGTTGGGACTATTTAACCTTGTGGTAGAACGCCTGCTTAGCGGGCAGAATGATCTGTGTTCAGTCAACAACACCCACACAAAGAAATTATAACCCATTTATGTGAAACATTTTAGTTCAAATGACTTAAAAATCAGATTCTTACTCAAAATAGTAGCATAGAAATAGAGACCTACCTCCATGTTCTTGAAGATTTAAAGTAAAAAAAAAAAAAAAAAAAAAAAAAAAAAAAAAATCCTTAAATTTGTTCAGCCAATGTGCTGGTACATGCCTGTATTCCTAGCAATTGGGAGACTGAGGCAGGAGGATCACCTGACCTACACGGTAAGAACCTGTCTCAAAAAACAAATTTGAGAAAATAGTTTAAAAAAATTTATTCTAACAAAATTCTGACTTTAATAAACTAGAATGTTGTGTTTTTAAAGATCTCAAGGGGGAGGAGAGGGAAAAAGTAAAGATAGAAATTTAAAGCTTGTATTTGTCATAAGGTTGAATTAAAGAAAGCACTTTCTCAGAAGAAGATGGCCACTGTACAGTTGCAGAGGACTTCCATGGTATGATTTTTTTTGTATTTAATATATATAAATTCACGTGATTTTATTATTTCTTGGTGTCAGTTATTATATTTTTGAAAATTGGAGTCAGTTGTTGAAGGGTTTAATGATAACAGAAACCCCATATTTTAAGGAAAAGTAGTAAACTTTAGAGAAGTCTGTTGGATGTTTGGAACATTACATTAAATTATAGTTCTTAATTCAATTTACAGTAGTTACTAATATTGTGCCATTGCTTTGATAGTTATTTTTAGCAGTCTGCACTTAGAAAACATCCATGATTCCAAGATAAATAGAATTGTGCTGTCTATGTAGGATCTTGCATTACAGTTAACCTGTGTTAAACCTAGTCAGTGATGAACCAGGTATGGTGGCACATACCTGTAATTCCAGCACTTGGATGCTGAGGCAGGAAGACCATTTATCTCTAATCTCTAGTTCGATGCTAGCCGGGGCTACATAGTAAATTCAAGGCCAGCTTGCATTTACATAGCAAGATCCTGTCTCAAGAGAAACCAAACAAACAAAAATCCTGTTAAGTAGTTAAAGAGGAAAAATCAGTGTTACCTGTCCATGTTTTATGCATTTATAGTTAATCTGTAAAGAGATTCTTAAATACTTTTTGCACATTACCTGTATGCTGATACTCCTTAGAAACACTCTCCCATTTTACAAACTGCTCTGCTTTTCTGGGGAGGACTAACTACTAGGGAAAGAATTATTTGGCAGAGTAACATGTCTATACAAAATTGGATCTACTTTATGTCCAGGGAAATTTTATTTTTAATAAATATAAATAAAATGTTTTAATTTCTTTTAAATTTTAGAGCACATTGGTATTTCCCAATAAAATATCAACTGAGCAGCAGTCTTTGGTGTTAGTGAAGAGGCTCCTAGCAGTTTCAGTATCCTGCATCACGTATTTGAGAGGAATATTTCCAGAGTGTGCTTATGGAACAAGATATCTAGATGGTAATGTAATGTTCATTTTAAGCTTTATATTTTTTGGCTTGCTTTAAAACTTAAGTTTTGGGCCGGGGAGATGGCTCAGTGCAATAAGTGCTTCCTTGGCAAGTGCAAGGACCTGAGTTCAATCCCTGATTCCACAAAAATAAATAAATAAATAAAATAAAACAAGTTTTGACTTAGAGGTTGTGTTTTTAGTAGAAGCTTTATTAATATTATATACATGTGTGGTAGTTTGCTCATTTAAAACATATAGTCCAGTGATTTTTAGTATGTTCAAAGTTGTGCAACTATCACTGCAGTCAATTTTAGAACACTTTCATCACACTGAAAGGAAACCTTACATTTATTAAGTCACTATCCATTCCCCCCTCACCTTCCCAGTTCTGGGCAGCCACCAGCCCACTTTGTTTCTATACATTCATTTATTTATTCTGAACATTTTATATAAATCAAATCATATAGGATGATTTTTTTTTTGGACTGTCTTCTGTTATTTAGCATAAAATTTTCAAGGTTTCTCCATGTTAGAACATGTATTAGTGGGGCTGGTGAGATGGCTCAGTGGTCTAAAGCACCTACTTAGAACAAGCTAAGCTTAGCAAAGCACAGGGACCGCGGTTCAATCCTCCAGCACCACATGCCAGCCAGCCCCCGCCCCCTGGTAGGCTGAGCTGGCCACACACACACTAAATAAATAAATAATTATTTATTTATTTTTTTTAAAAAAGAACATGTATTAGTACTCCATTTTTTTTTTCTTTTCTTTCTTTTTTTTTTTTTTGTTTTTGGTGGAACCAGGGATTGAACTCAGGCCCTTGTGCTTGCCAGGCAGTTTTTTTCGGTTTTTGAGACAGGGTCTCATTGTGTATGGTGGCCTGGTGTTGAACTCACTAAGTAGCCCAAGTTGGCATGAACTCACAGTGATCCTCCTGCCTCAGCTTCCCAAGTGCTAAGATTACAGGGCCTGGCCCCTGCAGTTTTCATTGTTGAATAATGTTCCATTGCATGACTGTACAGTTGATGAGCATTTGGGCTGCTTTACATTCATGCTTCAGTGTTTGGATATCTACTTTTTATTTTATGTGCTAGGGATTGGTTTTTGTTTTTGTTTTTTGGCAGACACTGCACCATTGAGCTACATCTTCATTATAGAGCTACATCTCTACATTATTTAAAAGATAATCAGCTGAGTATACTAGCACATGTCTGTAATCCTAGCACTGAGGCAGAAGAATTGCAAGTTTGAGTCCTGCCTATGTAACATAGTGACTTTGAAAGAGTCTATCTCTTGGGGCTGGTGAGATGGCTCAGTGGTCTAAAGCACCTACTTAGAACAAGCTTAGCAAAACACAGGGACCGTGGTTCAATCCCCCAGCACCACATGCCAGC